TTTTTTTCGCACAATTTGCAGCATGCATCACAATTTTATTTAGAAAAGCTGCCATGAAATCAGACATTTTAGACCGCAACAACCCTAAAAAAGCATCAAAAATGTGTCCAGTTTGCCATGTGGTGCTGGACAGTTACTGTACAGTCTGTACACCAGAGCTTTTTCTCCAAAAGCTGCCTTCTGCAACTGGAATTTAGGTTGATGAGAGAAGAGATGTGAACCAGCAAACCAAACCAAACATTAAGCAAAGGAAAATGCCAAAATGGAGTTAGATAAAACCCTTCCTCGCCCCAAGGTGCAAGTGCATTTAATTGTAAATGAACTGTGGTGAAAACACATTCCCTTCTGCATTTATGATCAATTAAAGCTATAAGGTTGGACTATGAAAAGACAGAAAATGATCAAAGGGCGTAAAAAGCAGGAGGAAACAAGAAACTCACCTCTAAATAACGACCGAATCAGGGTTATCCAGGCAGAGCGTGCTGTTTGTCTGTGTGCCAGAGTTGATAACCGACTGACCTTGAACCTCTGAAATCGACACTCTGTACAAAGGCAAACAGTAACTAGCTCAATAATGCTCCATCTCTATACAGAAACCACGTTTATTTAGGGACTGTCAGATCATTTAAATTATCTGTTCCTAAAAGGGGAAAGTGCAGTTTAGGGGGTTTTATTCTTTCTTTTTTGTGAGACTTTATTTTAGTTTTTTCTGCACTAAAGCAGCAGTTATTTTCCTGTTAAAGTTTTACATGCAAACATATGATAAGCTAATAACTGCCCAAGTAGTTACTGTAGACTGTGGACCTGCTTTAATACTGCGTACACATTTATAACTCTGTAGTTTAACACTCTTAAAGGGCTCACTCTTGCGTGTTTGCGCACTCCTTTCACGCTTTTAATACCTCCTTTCTCAGTAAATAAGTGTTGCAAAAGGCCAGATTTTTAAGCCGTCCCCTCTGACCCCGTTATCCTTTTCGGATGAATGTTTCAGTACAAACACCTCTGAGAACTTGGTCACACAAAGTGCTACATATTAACACAGCAGGGAGAAAGTCTGTACAAAGGGAAAGAAAACAGCCTCCACCAACAGACGGACCTTGTTGCCTGTCAGCAGGTAATGTTATGTGGAGGAAAAAAAGAGCCTCTATTTGAACTTTACTTACACCAGCTGAATGTTTACTTCAATCATAAGTCAAACTGTAAAGTAAATGTTGAGTTTAAATGCTTTGATTTGGTGCAGTTTTTGACTTATGTGCTGCAAAAAGTACTTTATAAAACCACCAATATGTTCTCTTTTAGCCTCCTGTTACCAATAAAACAGACAAACAGTATCTTTATTATGTTAATTATCCTAAATCTTAAACACAAGGGGTTGGTTTAGATGTGACTTGTTATCAAAACTTAAACTGCATTAAATGAAGATAGTTGTTCAGATGCATGACCCATTTCCTCCCTCAAATGTATTTAGACACCGACATTGTTTGTGTTAGATGTTTTTTTAATTTTGTGGCATTTAAAAGCTCCAGTGTGTCAGATTTAGTGGCATCTAGTGCCCACTCGTTTCACCCTCTATTTCCAACCGCGAGGGAGAAACTACGGTGGCTGCGAAAGAGCCTCATGTAGAGCCGGTGTTTGATTTGTCCCTTCTGGGCTACTGTAGAAACATGTTGACCTTGTGGCGCCTGTAGATAGAAATGTCTCATTCTAAGGTAACAAAAACACAACGATTCTTATTTTTTAGGTGATTATACACTGATGAAAACATATATGAATGAATATTATGTTCCATTTCTGCTAATAGAGCCTAAATGTTACACACTAGAGCTTTAAATTATATTAAAAAAAGGTTATATTTCCAGATATGGCATCACTTGTTATACAATTACATAATTATAAGCAAAAACAGAAGTAGAGTTAGTCTCTGGCACAATTTCACCTCCTTCGAAAAAGACCTCCTCCTTCACACACAATGAGGAAACAGTGTTAAGTTGCAACAGTTGTCTCTTTAAAAACACGTTGATTGCGAAACTGATGTGTGTCGACTTGTGGCTTCCGTTTCTGCTATGGTTAAACCCACAGAGAAGTGTTGTGCAGTGTGTTTTTCCCCTTTAGAAGTGATAAAAACATCCCAGCTAGGAGATGAATTTGTCCAGTCAAGTGCAGGAAGAGTACATTATAATTGGGAGGACTGTCGATCATCCTTTGTACCACATTTTTTAAATTACACCTTTCCAAAAACATGCCTATTGAGCCCCACCACACTGCCATACGGCAAATTAAACATTTTATGGCTTAAGTCCATGCACCAGACAAACTGTGTTGTAAGCTGTAGCTCACGTCTACTCACTGGAAGTATTTTATTACAACATACAGACACAAAAGACTAAATACAGAGTGATAGAAAAGTTTACTAATTTTTTTTGTCCGTGGAAAAGTTGATGACATCTTCATTGTGTAGTGCAACGACGGAGCAACAAACTGTTTCTATTCATTGCTCCAAATAGCTTCCAATGATCAGCACCAAGTCATGTTGAACGGACATTCTCAGTGTCTCCTCTCAGCTACGGTGTAGATATAGTCAAGAGGTTACACAATATTAAAATATATTCATACTTAATCATATATTTGAACATAAAAACGCCTTCAACAGTACATTTAAAAAAATACAGCATCTTCCAGGGAAAGACAAACCTTTGATCACAAAGCCTCTTTGATGAGAGAGGAGAGTCTTCTGAAAGCCTGTCGAAAAGATTTGTGAGAGATTAGAGTCAGTTAAGGAGTGTGTGTGTGTGTGTGTGTGTGTGTGTGTACCTCATCAATCTGCTCTGGTGTGGAGAGAGAAAAGGCAGCTCTGACGTACGGACAGGGATCACTACTGTTGATCATGAAGACGCCTCCGGGAACCAGCAGCACCTTTAGCAGACGCACACACACACACAAACACTTTTACTTAATAATTTAATTTAATTACTTTTCTTTCTTTCTCCAGTTTTTACACAGCTGATATTTTTCATGCATCTAAGGCCAGACTGAGATAATGAACCATTGATTAATCCTCTGTGAGAACAAAACCCGTCTTTGTTTTTATCAGCAGTTGTTACATGAACATTTTCAGGAAAACACACATTAAAAATAACATTTTGTCACACACAATTGTCATTTTTACACTTTGATTTCTGTACAGATTAAACAAATGAGAGTGTTAGTTAGAGTTGATGGTAGTTGTGTTTTGGACAAAGGAAAAGGTAATAAAACTCAATAACTCTCGGCAAGAAAGTGAATAAGAGCGTTTTCCATCATCTTTCAGAAATATTGCCACTTAAAAGATTATATACACAATATTTAAAACATTAATATTGCAGCAAACCACTATTTGCAATGTAAATATATAGAGGAGTGAAGCAGAGAATGATGCATTGTTTACTCTGGTCCGACCGCGTGTTTGTGTTACTGCATGTGAGTCTGTCGCTGTGCAACTGTTGGCTTTGAGGACAGCGACTGAAACGGCTGTTTTTCTCATCGATATCAGTGAATTTCAGATTTATTTGAACCAAACCAGTTGGTGATTGTTGTTGGAACAGAGTAAAGACTAGCAAAGACAGTTTTGTTGAGTTTTATTTTTGATTTCTGTCCACTTTGAAGGAAATTATGATGTTACAATGATGTGTGAGGTTAAAATCGCCATTTTTCTCTATGGAGTCTGGTG